TTTCACCAATATACCTACCTTTAATAAAGCCAGACTGATCTATATTTATAAATTTATCTAATACTTTTTTCATTCTAGTCGCAACTGAACCTGGAGCAATTTTATAAATTGTATTCAGAAGTGAAATAGGACTCCATTTTTTCAAGTATTGCCTTGGCTTATCTCGCTTTGATAAACACGTTATGATTCCCTGCCTCTGTGTTACTGATATTTTGTTGATACTAAACCCATATTATATTGATCTTACCACAAAATGTCATAGCTGTTTCCAAAAACATTTTGAAAAATTCTACTGTAAACCGGTCTGAACCTGGACTTTTATAATATATATGCCCGATTTGGAAGCATTATTATGTACAAAAAATTGTCAACAATTTTCGAATGTGACATTTTAAGACATACATGTTTTGTTGTGTATGATTATTTGATGTATGCAGTTTTAACCGTTTTCAATTTAGTTTCCTTTTGTTGTATATTAATTTTTTAAATTGTCTCTTCTAGACCAGATATGACTGTACCAATAACTGGGCAATTAAGTCAAATGACACCACGAACATCGAGTAGATACTAAAAATATATATCTCTTAACGAAAGTTAACGTAGTTGATAATGACATGATCTAAAGCAAGCGGCCAGAGGGGTCAGTTCTATCTTTTTGGAAACCGTTGATAAATACAGTTTGTACCGAAATAATAATAAATGATAATATACAACATGTATATAGCGCCCTATATAATTTGTAAAATTACTCTAAGGCGCTTTACAACATATGGATAATAGTAATGGTTATGATTGTGAAAACAAACAACAAAGGCTTGCAATCTCTTTCATAGAGTTAACAAGCAATGTGCACATAATTGAACAAATTAAAGGGTGGTATTTACATGAAGTCTTTGCAAAGATTCTAAAATGTAGTCGTGAAGAGGTGAGTTTTTATGTCCCTCTTGAACTTGGCCAGGGTATTCGACTTCCTAATAGCAGATGGTAAGCTATTCCACAACGTAGCCAAAACCCTCCCAAAGCATCTGTTTCCGTAGGTCACAATACACACAACAAAGATTCTGACGGCGACCGCAGTGATCTTGACGGCTGATACAGGGTAACAAGCTCCTGTAGGTACTGAGGAGCTGTTCCATTCAGTGAAATATCCGTGCCTTTCAGTGATAAGTAAGGAGGCACATTCCAACGCTGTCGACTGACAACACAATGTCAGTGAGTCGTATTCCACTAATAACGTAATACCGTCGCTTTGAAGTAACACAATTCATCGCAGACAAGAATAATAAGTATCATGATACGTTAAACTAATGATATATGTTAACAGTTGGATTTGAAAAAAAACAAAAACATGTTTAATTAGAATTTGCACGCAAGAGTGTACCGCAGGGAAAATTGAAAATCGCACTAAGTACGACATCAGTAAAAAGAAAAAACCTTCATGAGTAATCAATAATGTTATTTGGAAGAAAGCATTGATTCAGAATAAATGCCTGTAATTGTATTAAAAAGACGTCGGGTGAATAAAGCGAAAATTGACTTTTGCTAGTTAGAAGTTCACCGACAGCTGCCACTAAAACGTATGGCTATACCGTTAAGGATTTGTTCATTGATGCTAAAGTGCGCCAAGAAAACATTGTATCTTGTCAACTTCCCGACATGGATTGTTCTTGGAATACGACTACCTTGCCCGAAACTGAGAAAGTAATCTGATGCACCATTGATAAAGCTGTTACGTTATAAAGGGTTTTGGACGTTATGCATGAACCGTTCTCTTGCGCTGTATTTCTACATTTTGTATAATTTCTTTTTCTTTCAGTTCTACCAATTACGTTTTAAATATATGCCTTTACATTGTATGTTTTTCAACTGATTAATCTTAAATGGACGAAATGGCCATATATATTTTTTATGATTTTTGCATCAAAAAAAATAATTTGTCATTTTTTATATCTAGTGATTGTTTTTCATGCAAACTTATTTCTTCACTGTCAAAGTTATTCGCTAGTTAATAGTCGAAATGATGACAGTAAGCTGAATTCAGATAAATTGAAGGACCATCTTAGTTATATAATAAAAAAAAATATTGTTGAATTTAAAGAAAAATGCACGGCACACTTTTCTTGTTTACCCTAGATATCTGCAAACAAACAAATAAAATATATGTTCCCTTCTTCGTTATTTAAAGGGATTATTTCTCATGCAGTCGTATTTGTTTCGTATTAAAAAATCACTATTTAAAATAAATATTGTAATAATTTCTTTCTTCGTTATTTATCGTCAATCGTATCTATTTCGTATCAAATGATTTCCACTTATCTGCCTCGCTATATCGCGTCCTGTCTTATACTAACTCCATAGGGAAATGATTATAAACAAACATGTTAAAGCAGCAATAAAAAATAGTCTGTCTAGATCTTAATCGCAAATTATTCATTGCGGCAAAAACGTTTCATATCACAATAGCCATAACATATTGTTTGAAAAGAACTTGTTATTACAATATTAATACTGAAAAGGGATATTTACATGAAACAGGTAAACACAGGTAATTAAAGAATGCACCTATTTTGGTTGATAACGGATGCGTTCATTGGAAAGTTGTATTAATTCCGTTATCTAGTGTTTGCAGAATATTTGATTACCAATAATAATCAAGTTCGCCGTTCCGAATCGTTCGCGTGCGACGAAATGTAAAGTGTGTATCGTATCACAAACTATGTGTGTGACAAATAACGATCAATAGTTACAAGCAGAGTAGGCGCTACCGATTGAAGTACCACACCACAACTAGTTTGTTTTAAGTCGACAAGTAGTTGAGCATAATACATATATTTATCAAAATATCTTCACCATTAACACTTCAGACAATGCTAAAACGTCAACTATCAAATGTATTAAGCATACTGCATCACGCCGGTTTGAAATTATAATTATTGTTTTGAATATTGATAGGTTGTAAAGAGGTTTTGAAAGACTTGTCACTGAGACTTGCACCACCAAGTACCTACTCTTTTTCATTACCAGGTGAAGGTCACTTTTTGTCATAGTAATTTCTTACTCATAAAAATAACCTACTTACTTACTCATACTCATAAATAACGTACTCATAAGCATAACTCGCTCATAGTTATAACTAGTAATTACTCATTGTCCTTACATGTTCAGTCGTTTCCTAGTCATATATATAAAACATAGTCATCGCATAATCGTTATGGTTACCTAGTCCTCGCCAATCCATATAGTAGAGCTTACCGTTTCATTTTCATTCACTATCCTTAACGTTTACATATACCTAGTTTAGTCATTCCATAGACATTGTAGTAACATACCTGTGGTCACAGTAATCACCTGGTTACAGATAATTACCTAGTTACAGCCATTGTATGGTCATTAGTCATATAATGGTACTAAGCTAGGTTCATATTAATTTCAGGATCATCTGGCTGAAAACCCTATTGGTTGTCCATGCATTTTACTTTAAGATTTAAGTCACATCTTCTATTACCCTAGATGTGCACATGAAAGGGAAAATTTGTTTTGCTCATTAGCGAAGAATATTCTTACTATATTACTGCTATATTTACTAGATGTAAAAAAAATGACGCCGGTTGCGCCACGACATAAACTCACTTGCTCCTTCGTGCCAGGTGAGCTAAAACAACATATTTATCGATGAAATCGTGATTGTAATAATAAACTTGTCAATACCCTTCATAAACCTCCAACTTTGTAAGCCCTGTGTTGTTTTTAAGTTTGTCCGCCATCAGTCCACATCAGTAACGATCACGAAACATACAAAGGTTAGTCAAACATGTAGTTGTTGTTCCCAGCTTTACATTCAGCATTCATGGTAATTCTTGTAATCGCAGCAATTATTTCACTCATTGTCAGTAAAGTGTGATCCATTGTAATAGAGTGCTTGGTGTCATCGGTATGGTATTTCATGTACGCGCTGTTGGAAGGCGGCAAATACAACAAACATGCCACCTCCCGCATATACGCATACTTTTCACAAATAGAGGTACATCCTTAATGGGAGGGACCCTATCCAAGTAAAATAAACCGAACAATACATTTGTCCGAGAGTTAAGATTTATTAGATGAAATAAGTTTGAATCTGCAGGGTTTAACCTCTCACCATTGTGTTTTACATGTGTAAGTGTCTATTTTTGTTTTCCTGACTGATATGACTATATGACTACAATGTATTGTTTCTGAACTGTAAAGAACAATGTTGTTGTTGTTGGGCTGAATCTAGCCGACGATAGCACAATAGAGATTGTCCAGTTATGACTCAAGCAGGTATATGTATACAGTTTTGTAAACAATTCTTGTTTTCAGTAATAGTACTAAGAAGAATTGCAAATATTTAGAACGTTTTGTTTGGCCCTTTAAAATATCAAATTTGACGAAACCTTTAGTCGTGTTACATGGTATCAGAATGAATGCCTTTTGAAATATATTCAGCCATTCAAAGCTATTGTCTGAATTCATGTAAATTCAGCCGTTCAAAGTTGTTGTCACGACAATAATATGGACAGACCTAATGGTGGATGTTCAATTATATATTCTTCCACTGGTAAAAGACCATGTTGTGAGACATCGTGTTCATGTCCATTACAATAAGCCTTCAAGTAAGTATTGGAACCTCTGGTTACTGGTACATCGGCATTTTCAATACTTTTTTGAAACATTTTTACTTTTTATTAAGAATCATTTATAACAAAAATATAGTTTTTGATAGCATTTACACACCAAGTTAATGAAAACGATTTGTATTCTTGAATTTCTGAAACCTTTAATTCTAACCAAAACATTAAAGAAGATGGCATGCAGCAAGACAAAACCTTGGTAGTTTAGCATATGACTACCGTAAGGCACACTGCTTTCTGATTATAAATCAATGTGGATATCTATCAAAAAGAATCAAGCATTCATCATTAACAATCATTGCCAGAGTTAGGAAAATACAACTATATAGAGTAGTATTGTCTACTTACCAATATCCAAAATGGCTGTTTGCTGCTTGGATGAACAAATGTCGGTGAAAAATATAAGAAGTTTTAAAATGACGTAAAACGCATAAACATGTACACTTTCCATGATAACTAAGTTAAAACCATTACATCAACTCACTATGTACGAATATGTATGATGACCAACAGTACACTTTTTTCTTCCATCTCCGAATTTCTGTGGCTTATCATTTGAGATTAACACATTTAGCGCCATCATATTTCCATCATTGTACGCTGGGGTTCTTTCCGATATGCATAGCAAGTAACACATATGGCAATTGTAGTAAATGTGACATCAGTTATTTAACAAACGCCGCGAGTATTTCTTCAACGCAGAAGGTCAATCGGTCAATACAAAAATGTCAATTCTCTAATATAATCTAATGTGATAGCGCAGTAGGGAATATTCAATGTACTGGATGATTAAACTATAACCTTTTTCTATCAGTCATAGCAACACCGTCATGATTTTATGTTACACAAACAGCAATTATTCGTAGTACATAGTTTCGTTAGCGGGTATATAGCATCGTTAACTCCTGTACATTATACATTAACTGGTTTCCTGTCATCCTAGGTTTCAGCGGTATGTCTCTCCATGAAATAATATTTTCTTGGAAATGAAGCTGGAAAATCCATATAAACGGCTCCAAGGACTTGCAGGTAACAGCATGAGGGCTTTTGATTTTTCTCGATTAGATTAAGAGTCCCTCTAATTCCGGTGTTTATTTCGATAATAAAGCTATCCTTAAAACACTCCGCTATTTGAACGCAGCAGTAAATCGACCCAAAATACATCATCCTCATACGACAATGTACTGTATTGTATGTGTTTGTAGACTGTAGAATGTTCAGGACGTCCACTTCGACGAATGGTTACCCATGTTACACTGATTAAAATTTAAAACATGACAACCCTAGAGACCCGCATACAAATCGAGCTAATGGAGGTTTTTTACCATCACTTTAACATTGTACACGTGCATAGAGAATTGTCCTTTTTCATTGAAGTTTGATTTTAGCAACATCCGATTGCAGTTAACGTTGAATAATCAATGTACTCGTGTTCAGTTAAAAATAGTTTCCAGTACAGTGCATTATATGTATCGAGGAATGATCAACACAACAATAAGGACGCTTTTGATGACACAACGTCGTATTCATCTGGCAACGATCAGTCATGCATCCTTTCCAGTTAATGAAAAGCAGAGAGGCATAAAATGATTTCAAGCACAATCAACAGTGTGTTTGTGTGTGTGTGTGTGTGTAACGTTCATCTTGTCTACGTCGAAGCCGGGTACATTGTTTCACCTGAGCAGAATGGCACTCAGTGTCCGCTTTACACATCTATGCTGCTTATTGCCTTTCGTGGCAACACCTCACTTAACGTTGAGCGTTCCGGCTAAGTTGACTAGGCAACAGGATTTGTCCGAAGGTTTCGACACAACGAATTCCTTAAACAGGGTAGGCGTTATTCCCTGCTTAACGTTCAGCATATATGGTGACGGTAAAGGCAACATAATGTGGAATGCTGTACTGGTTGTTTTCATCGTGATACATGTATAATTAGTAAGGTAGCACTCCTAAAGACGTCATCAGATCTATTAAATCGAATTGAAGCATACACACCCAACATACCCTGCCACCAGCACATAAACAAGCATGCGAACATGGAACCATGTTCTTACATGCTGTTAAATTTAGTAAACCCTAACAAAGAAATAGTTATGCTGCCCCTTTCCCCCTTAAAAGGTGGTGGGAAAGGTCATCAATGTTCGCCCCATGCCCTTGCATCACAGTTCTAACAACTTCATTTCCGAACAGATGAATGTTAAAGATTGTACAAAGGTCATATATAAGAGCTTTTTGCGTTTCGGGTTACAACGTCAGCACAAGGGTATTTCTTATCATTGAAGTGGTAGGACGCCGGGCTCGTGACCGAATGGTTGCGGGTTCACGCCACGGCACAGCAATGTGTTGTATCTTTGAGCAAGATACTTTACTCCACTTGTTCCAGTCTACTCAGTTGTAAATGAGTACGTGGTTGGACAGTGCTAGAATTATTGAATGCTAGCTGTTAGCGCCAAAATGGCAGCTCCGGCTGTATGCTCCCCAGGGAGTTGAGAAAAGTATTGGCTGGTTGCAAAGGCCCTATAACCACGGATATTAATTTGTGAACCGCTTTGAGACGACCTACGAACTAGGTTGTGATAAAGCGGTATATAAGAACCTCGAGTTATTATTATTGATTCGAGCAATCAATGTCTGCTCGAAATCTTTGCAAAAATTAAGAACGGATTAAACTCTTTCGGACAATTATTAACCCTGAAAGCTTGAACAACTTCGACTACCACTATTCCTCCTTGGGGAACTTAGTAGTCAAATCAACAAACTGTGGTTTGTGATGTGTGCTGGATGTGAAAGATTGGTATCTGATGTCGACTTCAGAGTGCTACCTCATCATTGATATACCTTGTCAAACGCACTCATCATAACGTTCCAACTAGTCACATTATACTTATAATGGGTTAACCAGTTGTTACGAATTCTCAAAATGATAAATGTTCAAGCATTGAGATCCCTTTTTGCCTCAGTTGGTCTAGTGTTTTACCAATCAATGCGATAGGGAGTTGTATTGATTTACGGTCGTTCGACAATTGAGGTAATTTATGGCCAAACGATACTAAAACTTCATGTCCTCCTAATATATATAAATATTCCAAAGGTTACGGCAGATTAGATTTAAGTCTCTTTAATGTCCCAAGGTAGATGGCACAAACGCACATCCCAAATTTGCAGAGGTCATCATATAAGCTGCTTCCTTCTTCACGTATATACATTTTTTGTGATTTTGCTTATGTTTTTGTCATGAATTTGCTTAGCTTTATATCGATACGATTTACGTTTGCTGTTTAATGTATAAGCTGGGTTAACGAAAATTACAAACATATCACACAAAATACAATACATTCTTATTGATCGAGTCTATGGTTTAAAAAGCTTTTTTATGATTGTTACACGTTTCCATAATCTTTGGAAAAAATATGAAATATCAATATTACAGCAGTGACCTTTATTATGTGCTGCAAAGATATGTTCGAAATCTGTGAGGTTGGTATGCATTGAAAGGATGCGTGTGTCATACCTGCGATAAAGCACCACAACAGTATTTCCTTATTCAGGTAAATTTGTTCGTTTAGTGGTGCATCAATTCTTCAAGTTTAAAGGCGGCTATTGATTTATTTTTAATAAGTAACTTCAGTTGATTTCGTTATTGCTTGTTTTCTATTTAGAACCAATTAAAGGACATTTTCTAGACCAGAGTCTTACAGACAAGACTAATTACACCGATCAAACAACAATACTGCATGGAGACACATACTATGCCATAAGAAAGTATAAAGCCTTGTATAGTAAAAAGGTAACATGACTCTAGTTAGTTATTGCGTCTTAAAGACACAGGAAATACAGCAGAGTTCTGCCAAGTAACAGGTAGATAAAACACGCAAAAGCAAATGACATCAAACACAAAAAAATATAACAAAAAAGACAAATATCGACTAAAAAAGCAAAATTGGCGATGGTTAGCTATATCTTTTTGAACATACAAACAGTGTGGAAGGTAGATTAGAATTGTTGCGATATTTACCATCTCGAAGAGATATTTGCGATATGTTTTATAACTACATGTATGAAAAAAATCTCGTTTCAGCTGAAAATCAATGTAATCTAATTACAAATGCGTTCCTGTTAATGCTCCGTTGCATGCTATACAGCGAGGTGGTAATCGCGTTTCAATAAATCAGAATAGGTTATGAACGACAACCTCGTCCCGGCGGTTTTCTCTATTGATAAGATACCATTCAGCGATTTCGTGTTTTACAGAATGTAATTTGTTTGCAACACATCGCTTCATAAAAGTTTAAATTAAACAGTTAGTAGCAAGAAATCCGCTTTCGTAGCGCAATCTGCCTTTTCATTAACTAATATTCCCATATGTCCAGGAAACATAATGTAGCGCGCACCATTCAGTTTGTCTGTGCCACATGTGGCAGTTATACCAGTTGGTCTGCCACATCTATGCAGTTTATTGCTTATATTTATATTTCCATAATGAGAATTCGCAAAAAAAAAAATATGTCTTTTCCGAATTTCAAATTTCCCGCTTATTACCGTCAGGTCAGGTCAGTATCTAGAACGGCACAAAGATAACAGCTGACGTCATGTGCTATTTCCCATACAAAATTGAAAAGACTCCGCAACTTTCGTTAATACTTTATTTGATTTTGATTTATATACATATCATATTCTCGATTCATAAATAGTAACAAATGACATTTTGTAAGTAACTAATCAAGTGTCGTAAAACATTTTCCGATTTTATTGCGACCTATATCCGGCGCACGCACTCAACGGGAGCCCGCAGTTATCAGGTCAGAGTTATATTTGCAGTCCGGCATGTTGTTGATGTTGATCGTGCAACCGGAGAAGGTTGAATTGGTGAAAAATCCAGGCGTAAAATTGTTTGTTGATCTCACAGACACTTGAGACAGGCAGCTGGTGTTCGGGATCAAAGCAGAAGATACCGATAAGTTCGGTAGTGATACTGTTAAGTCGCTGGGAGGTGCAAAGACCAACTTCAGTTATAGTTTCATAAGATGAAGCTGCTATTGCAGGACTTTAGTAGTAATATAGAAGGGCTTTGCCACACCAAATGTAAATATTGCTATTTAATTCGTGTTTTTCAAATTGAAATACACTTTGTGGAAAATCTGTAGAACAGATGTATAATAATGTAGGGAGTCAGAATAAATGGCTTACTTCGGTATACCAATGGAGTTAATATGTTCAAGGATGCGATAGATAACACTGTCTTCTGCAAAGTATATTGAGGCGGAACTTAAATGACAGCATCGTTTGCAACCATGTCTGTGGCGATCTTATGATCATCTTTCGAACCATCAGTAAATAACGAGTATAAGTCTTTATATTCAAACTGCACGTTAAAAAAGGATAAACGAAAGTAGTGTGATTTAGTGTCAAATTTTACTGTTTCGAAGAGAGAAATATAAACCTCAGGGGAAATCAAAAGTTATGGAGGAACATCAAGTATTTAATAAAAATAACTAGTTGCAAAACGAATAAAAGAAAGTCGTATGATTTAGTGCCAGGCTTTACTGTTTCATGTAGAGAAAGATCAACCTCAGGGGTAGTTAAAAGTCATGGAGGACCATCAATTATTAAAAATGATTGGAAAGTGTCTACATGAATATTGGCGTTTTCCAAGAGATCTGAACTATACATAATAAAAGTTGGAATAAATTTGGTTAATTTTGAAATTAAGTTTCATATATGTTGGATATGAAAAACAAATTGTAACTGAATAGCACACTGCAATGAAAGGACAGTTTCTCCCAATGATTCTATAATGGTGGTTCTCTTGCTTCAACGTAGAGACTTGCAACGAGTATTGTATGGAAAGTGCAAGTCTTGAACCCTCGAGAAAACGGTATAGAGTAATTCAAAGAAAGATTCTGTTGCGGACCAATAAACAATGGATCCGAAGTCAGGTTTATATCTTATAAGTGCTCTATTCCGTCTTTGCTTATTGCAGATTTATCTTCTCTTGTGAGCAGGTATTGATTGTTACGTCATTGGTTTGTGTGAGAAAATTACGTCGTTTTCTCAAAAATTGATGACGTTACTCTCACAAACCAATGACGTAACAATCAATACCTGCTCACAAGAGAAGATAACTCTGCAATACGCAAAGACGGAATAGCGTCTTAGCAATACCGTCCTATCAGTGCTTCAATTCGTATCGGACACTACCTTTAGAATGTTAAGTGCTTTAATCGTAAAATGAATTCAACATAGTTGTCCCCTTTGCAACATTGTAATTGGGTCATGGTCATTCACTTGAACCAAATTGATAGTTCTTTATGCATAGCATGCTACTGGTTAAATATCACCCGAAACGTATTGGTTATTCAGATGTCGTTTAAGAAAACTGATAAACTCGCGCCGACCATTTGCAAGGTTTAAGGAGTCTTA